AGCACTGATGGTGTAAAGATGACAAAAATGGGCAGGACATAGGCAAGTGAAATAACTTAAACTCTGCTGCAAAAATGAGGACACACAATTGAAATCTGCTAACACTGTTCATGTTAATGTGTGTGACTGTATTTGGCCCTGCAGACATACAATGTGGACCAGCAGATGCCAGACAGCGCTGGCACAGCCACAGCTTACTTATGTGGTGTGAAGGCTAACTATGGCACCGTGGGTGTCACTGCTGCCACCCCAAGGTCCAACTGTAGCGCTACTTTTGGGAATGAAGTCACATCTGTTTTGCACCGTGCCAAGAAAGCAGGTAGGTATATAGTGTAGCTCCACAAAGCTTTACTTTATAGTGGCTTAATTTAGCCTTGGATCAGTTCTGACACTGTTTTGGTCCTTGTTGGTGTGTTATTCATTAAGGAGAATTGCACAAACAGAGCAGTATTATTCTGTTATTTCTTTTTTTTTTTTGCTGTCACTAAAAAAATTTCCTTTTTACCCAACCTCACTTGTATCAAATCAAATATGCCCTGAAAAAAATATTTTCAGGACATTTTGCAGTGTTGAACTGTCTTTCTTTCCAAATACACAACAATATGTAGTAAGGTGGAATTTGCATGTTGTCTACAAAACATTAAATTAATTATGATCACATTGCTTCGTTTTTAGGAAAATCTGTGGGAATTGTCACAACAACTCGAGTGCAGCACGCCTCTCCCAGTGCCACCTATGCTCACTCTGCCGATCGAGGCTGGTATTCTGACTCCGACCTCCCCCTCGAGGCTGTCCAAAATGGATGCCATGACATTGCATATCAGCTGATTAACAACACAGAGATAAATGTAAGCCTTGATATAAAGCTATATGTGTAACAAATACAGTGAAACAATGAACAATGAAAAATCTGGGCATGTTTAGTATCTTTAGTCAGTAAACCAGATAAAACCTCTTCGGTGAGTGGTCAAATGTCATGTTCAAGACCAAACAGTTACTCTAATTTTCTTTGACTTGCTACTACTTGGTTTTCTATAACCAGGATTACAGAGAATCTCCTTGGACAAATGATAAGACTGTCCAAACTAAACTACTGTCATCCCAAATAATGGTTCACCACTACTTTGATAATAAATCCCACAAACAGTAATCATCACTCTGGATTAGGGCATCTGCTAAGAACATAAAACATATGGAGTTTGAAATATATACAGTATAAATTGTCACATGTCTCTCAATCCAGGTCATTCTTGGGGGAGGTCGTCAGTACATGTTTCCCAGAGACATACAAGACCCAGAGTATCCAAAGTATAAAGGAGACCGAAACGATGGACAAAATCTTGTTATAGAGTGGAGTAAGAACAAAAAGGTACATTGTAGATTTTACAAGTGTGCTCATCAGGTTGAGTGATTGAGTTTGAATAAATGTTATTCTCCCTCTGAGGCTGAGTTATTACAAAGTCTATTTATTTCCTACAGAATGCTAAATATGTTTGGAACAAAGCTGATTTTGATGCTGTCAATCCAGCAAATACAGACTTCCTGATGGGTAAGAACTATTATTATTATTATATTATGTCATTGTAATAATTAAGGATGCAGACGTTATGTGACCCACCAAGCTGTTGGATAGGGGTTCTGCTGAAATTTGTCCCTTGGCAGAAAATTAATCAGTAACAAGTCTGAAGTCATTTATCAAGTAAAATCCTTAAAGGTTTGTGCTTAAATGACCTGAACTGCTGTTCAGGGTATTGGGTATTTAGGATGAATCTACTGGCTCTCAGTGTGAAAGACTGGATGCTTTTCTCATTTACAGTCCAGATTTGCAATTTAGAGCAATAAGACAAGTACATTTTTCACAGAAGAGCTCACACATTTTAAAATTTGGCATTTGTTAGATCTTAAAAGATGAGGCCTGTAATTTCTCTCTGCATCTAGGTCTATTTGAGCCCAAAGACTGCCGCTATGAATTGGACCGTGATCCGTCCATGGACCCATCCCTCACTGAGATGATGGAGAAAGCAATAAAGATTCTCAGCAAGAACCCCAAGGGGTTTTTCCTCTTTGTGGAAGATAAGTATAACTGTTTTCTGTAGGTCTTCAAAGTGTCATTAAATATCAAGTCAGTGTTAAACTGTCAATTCAAAGTGTTCAATGTTCAATTGCTACATCACATTCACTTTCCTACATCTGTAGTAAAAGAAAGGGAGAAAATTAAGTATTTATGGTAATTTTAACAGCAGTTATCATCATTTTAGATCACAGTTTTTAAATAGTAGATATCTCATTTAGGAATCTTTCACTTAGGCCAGATTGTTGAAGTTGCATGATCATTTTTTTGTCCCAATCACAGTAATATCTGAATGCAAAAAATTTATAAATAAGAGGAATATGACTTAGATTTCAAAAAAATGAAGAATCACTAATAGGATGGGCTTGCTACTTATGTTCATTTATCAATGACTTCCTTTTGGACCTTAAGTGGGAGAATTGACCATGGGCACCATGGAGGAAAGGCGAAAAGAGCTCTGTATGAGGCTGTTGAGTTTGACCGGGCAATCGGGCGAGCCGCTGAACTCACCAGTGAGCTGGACACCCTGTCTGTGGTCACTGCTGATCACTCCCATGTCTTTGCCTTCGGAGGATATTCTGCGAGAGGAAACTCTGTTTTCGGTAAAATGCACTTTTAGAGTCTGATAAGCCTGAGTTGAGGGAGGTTTTGTAATAAAAAAGTGAAAGGCATCTGTAACTGTAACTGTTTTAAAGAAAACTGTAGATACCAATTTGTTCTGTGATTTGCAGGGGTGTCTCGCTCTCTAGCTGATGATAAGAAGCACTTCACCACCGCTGTGTATGGAAACGGACCAGGATACCAGATTGTCAATGGAACTCGCCCAGATGTGAATGAGTCAGTTTCATGTAAGTGTGCACTGATAATCTTTTGAGAGAAGACAAAGTAATAAAGTAGCTCCATCTAGTGGTGTAACAGGATACATACTGTAGAGGTACAAAGAAACACTGATCCACCACCTGCACACTTAATAAAAAATAAAAAAATAAATAAAAATCAGATCTTTAAGGCCCTTAAGTGGCAATGTAACATCTTTAACAATCGTCTATATGAAGTGCACCAAGTAATTGTTTGTCAACAACATGTTTGCAGTATTTTCGACAAAAGCTTTAAACATCAGATGACAGAAATATTTTTTCAGCCACAAATAAAAACAGAGGAATTTCTTAATACCAACATAAATAAGTCATATTATATGTGTCAGTGTGATCCTCTGAAGGTATAGATGATTGTCTTAACAGATAAGACAATCTGTCCAAAAACTATCAAATTTACAGTTATGCTACAGTAGCTCTGCAAACAATTTCTAACATTATAACACTCGTAATATGCAGTTTTTTGCAGTTTAACTATACTGAATTTAATCAAAATGTCAGATATCCCCTTTTTTTAAGTACTCCTCTATGTTCTCACTGTAGGTTTGTAATTCGTCTTTGTTTATGAACCAGAAAACTCTGATACAGCTAATCTGGTGCTCCTTTGTCCCATTGTCCTTCAGCGGATAATGACTATCAACAGCAAGCTCCTGTCCCTCTGGGTTCAGAGACCCACGGTATAGAGGATGTAGCCATCTTTGCCAAAGGTCCCATGTCACACCTCTTCCATGGAGTCCAGGAGCAGAGCTACATCGCCCATGTCATGGCTTACGCTGCCTGTCTGGAGCCCTACGACAACTGCAAACTGACACTGCCAAACCACGCTGGAGTTATCCACCCAAGCCTGCTACTCCTCCTAATGGGCCTCCTTCTCCTCTCTCTCTGCTCTGTCTAAGTCTGGGATGACAGTCTCCTGGGAATTTGTTCTGAAATTGGATTAACTGTACAATCAGACATTTCGGTTGTAAAAAAAAAAAATCTTTAAATTGTACTTTTTGTGTGGAATTTAAAAGCTGCATGGTCGCACAACTTTGACAACTTCTGCTTGTTCAGATAACCTTGTTGTAAAAAAAACAAAAACATTAGTTATTAGCCTACTGCATAGAGCCGTGACTTTTAAGTTTATTTATATGAAAATATAATTGTTATAATATATTTTGAATTAAGGATTGATTTCCTAATGATATTACATGTTTCAAGGTGTTTCGGGACGTCGTTTTGCTCTGCTGTGTATAGACCATGCTTGAACCAAGAGTGGATGTTACTCACCTGATGTAAAATAAGAAAATGCAAATGCATTTGGCCCAAACAAATAAGTAATTTTCATCTTCTTCTAGCTTCCCATATAGCCTCCTCACTCACCCGAATTTCCAATTTATTTTCATTAAGTTTTCAATCTGTGGGCACAACCTTGTCCTACATCCCAAATCCCCATTCTACTTGAAAGAGTAGCTTGGTGTTGTTCGCTTACACTTTACACATAATGTTAAAATGCTTACTGTACAAAGGGTGGTATATGAATATCATCTGATTTTCTGTCACCACCCCTTAGTACTACAGTTTTGAAGTGGATTATTATCATGATCTCGTTACTCAAACATCATTTTTATACTAAATATGCAATGGCGAACCAAAATGCACTATTTATTGTGAGGTAATCTGTTTTGCTTATAATGGCAACACAACAAAACTAAACATAGCAGATGTTCATTTAGCACATAAAGTACTGAATATCTCTAATAATTTAATGCCAAAGTATGGCTCTCTACAAAAGCTACAACAGCGTGAGTGACTAAAACAAGCATAGTTTGTGCGGTTTTAGTGAATGAAAGACGTACCAGAGTGATGAAGATACTGCCTCTGACAAGCGTATCAATTAAAACTGCGCCTCCTTTTCAAGTAACCTGATTGGTGAAAATGAAATGACCGTCCAATCAGAGACGTTGGTGGGCGGGACATCCATCTGCTGTCCTCAAACGAGGAGGAGTCGTGTGTTTGGAGGGAAGTTTAACCCAAACAGTCACGCAGTTTACGTGGATAAACAATTGGCGAATGTTTTTAGAGTTTGAAAACAATATGGTTCGAAGTATTTAAGAGGCAGAAGTAATAATTTTATAGTTAAGTGTCGGTTAGCTGTATAGAAAAATTAAGCTCGATGTGTGCGAGGAGTTAGTAGGTTTTGGCAGCTTCTCAGTCGCTATTAGCTAGGTAAGCTAACATTAGCCATGATTAAAAGTTACCGATAGCTCGCTGCACGGATTTAGGCTGTGGGCTAAACCGGAATATGCCGATACACAGCTATAGATCATTTATAAATGGACAGCTTTGAACATGGATCGAAAGACGAAGCGGCTGGAAAGTCAACTGTGCAAAGCTGTGAACGATGGAGAACCCAGGTGATGCTCTGCCCCCTCTCTCTTTGTTTTGCCCAGACATGCCTTCTGTCGAAAAAGAGGCGACGCCAGGATCGATAATTACACGATCATCTGCAATTCCAAATTATTTACAACATGCAAGTATTTAAGTACTTTAAGCCTTTACTCTAAAGTGTGTTCTTGTTGATCATCGTTGAAGCTGTAATGTCAGACTGACGCATTGTTTTGCAATGGTTCGGTACAGCTGAACACTGAGACTTGATTATAATAACCATACAGTATCAACCCGGTGAGGCCAGTAATTCCAGTGGTGCAGTGACTACAGGAGGTGCAGATAAGTTAAACGATGATAGTAGTATATATATAGTAACAACACACAATTCTTTTCAGTTATTCAGACTGGTGTCATTTACAATTATAAAGACAAACTGTAAAGTTAAAAGCTTTTTGAATTTCTGGTGCAACTGAAAACACATTAAAACTATATTATATGGAAAATGATTAAAATCCAGAGATCATGGTGAAGTTATAAACTATATAGAAACTGCTTTGTTAAAGGAGATCACAGTGACACAAACAGACCCTTAAAAATGCCAGCTACCATTCCTGACAGTCTCAAAAATACGAGATATTCAGTAAACTGTTATGTGCATACAGAATTATCGTGTTAATGATTCTGCTATTTTGTCCTGCAACATTTTATGGAACACCACACCCTTGCTTGCAATACAGCAACACACAGTACTGTTTGCTTTTCCTTGGCAGATCTGTGCAGCTGCTTCTCTCACAAGGTGCACGTCCTGACTTTGTGGCTAGTAAAGGAGTGGCTGCCATACACTTGGCTGTTGGCAAAGAGACTGAGAAGAACACACGCTGCTTGAAAATGTTGCTGCAATATGGAGCGGACCCTAATATCAGGTATGGTTACAGAAAACTGAGATGAAAAGTCACTATGTCAATGTGATCATTTTCTTCATCACAGTCTTCACTACTAAAGAAACCACGTCTTTAAAATTACTTTTCCTTAGATCTGTTCAATAAATGTGAGTGTAAATAAAGGTCATACAGATTTTTGAGCAATCTTCCACACGCTCTCTGCATTATATATAAGCCTACAGTGGCAGCATTATGCTGTCTCCAGTATCATCTTCCATTAGGAAATATGTTCAAATATAGACACAAAAAACGAATGAAATTCTCTGAGCATAATGATAACGTATTGTTTGGCAAAGTTGTATTTTTACTTGTATTTCTTCCAGGTCATCAGAGGGCCTGACTCCTCTGCATGTTGCTGCACTATGGGGATGTTATCAAAATCTGAAAATGCTCTTGATGAATGGAGGGGACCCAAACATTAAAGATAAGGTAAGAATTCATTTTAGTATCATAAATAATTTTACATAAGGGGCACTGCATGGGCTAAGTTTCAGGAGACAGAACATGAAAAAATTGGTTTTAAGTTAAACAGACATGCACTCATAAACACTTCATATTATTTAAAATAACTGGAAATTTGCTTGTTCTTGTGTCAATGATTACAAATTCTCCTAATGCCAGATTCAGTTTGGTTTATGCCTATTGTCTCCTTCATCCATGCAGGAAGGAAATACACCAGGGCAGCTTGCAGAGCAAGAGGAGAATAGAAAATGTGCCCTGCTCCTTCAGGAGTACCAGGCCAGCTCCATGGACACAGAGGAGGACGACTTGCCTCAATTCCAATACTGTAAGATAGTCTTCTATAACATTTTTGTCCTTTCAGGGATTATTTAAGTCATTCATCCTTAAAAATCACACTTGTATACAACTTTTTATTGTCCAACTTGTATTATTTCTATAACTGGAAAACATACTTAAATCTTACTTAAGCTGTGGTGTTAGAAATTGTACTGGGATAAATTACAGTAATATTTATCAAGTCAGGTGTTTAATATTGTACTTGGTTGCCATTGATTGTCATATCATATTAATACCACTGTTATTTAATTGTTTTCAAAGCTCTGAAAGTGCTAACTTGTTTAAATCCTCAGAATTTTTAACTTAAAACCTATGTGTAAGTACTCATTTTGGATGTTGTATGTATCTTAAATAATGTTGGGAACCAAGGCAGAAAATACTTTGTCAAAACCTTCCATGAGTAACTAATTTATTTCAAAACTTTTTCCAGTCAAATGAAAAAAAGAAACACAGGGCTGATCATCTGCCAAACTGTTTGGCAGTGCATAAATATGAGATCAGATGTGTTCTAGTTATATTTTGGTAATTCTTCACTTTTGTAGGAACTCTGTTAATTTATGTCCCCTTTTTTTCTTCACAGCTGTTTATTCAGACCAAACGGACATGTCCAGTTATCCTGAGTCGGACTACAGCTTCAGTTCCTGCTCATCTATGATAAGTGACTTTGGCGAAGCTCCGTTGAGCAGCACACGGCGCTCGTCATTTTTAAACTTGTCTGACACTAATAGGAGGCCAAGTTGCAGAGGAATATCATATAACAGACTTTGTAATATGGACACTAAGAGGCATCAGAGCCAGGACTGGAACAATTCCTCTGTACATTGGGCATCTGAAGGTCCATCCATATTATCAAGCACTCGCATGTCTGCAATGGGACTTGTAGCTCCAATGCCAGTTCTTAAGGAGGATGATTTATTTATCGATGATGGTGTGTTCACATCAAAAGCAAATAAACATGCTGCTACTGCTGATGGCAGAATCTCTCCCTCTAGAAGAGACACACTTCCAGCATTTCCCTCCAGGCGAGCGAGCCGCAAGAGTGTGAGCTTCCAGGATGTAGATGAATATTTCCCTGTTTTTAGTCCTGAGTTTCCCAAGCAGCAGCCTGCTGTTGATGGCAGCCAGTGCCCCAGCGACTTGTCCTTTGACCTTTCTGAGTACTCTGACTTCCTGGATTCAGAACGCATGGCCACTGTTTTACACAAGCAGGGCATTGACGTCACATCGCCGGACCACGTTTATGTTTTCTGCAGGGAGAGCAGTGCAAGCACAGAAGAGGACATGGAGAAAACAGTCATCAGTCGTTGTAATGTGGAAGAGAGTGATGATGAACAGGAGGGGGGAAATGTAAAAGAGATGCAGGTGAAGTTACTTGAACAGCCAACACGTTCATGTGGGGGCAGCGGTAGCAGTGGGACCACTAGTAGTCATTACAGTAGCTGTGAGAGTGACCATTACACCAGTGCTCTGGATGCTTCCTTACACCCCAGACAGGTATTACGAAAGGAAGGTTCTTTTGGGGCTAAGTCTGACAAAAATGTTGAGATTTCTACTGACTCTGTTTCTGAATTGACAAGGCAAGATGGAAATCTCACACCTGTTCAACCCCAGATAGGTTCAAAATCTGAAACTATAGAGCATTTACCAGGTATCCTTGATAAACTGACCTTGGATGAAATAAAGCACTCAAACAATGATGCATTTGCTTGTAGTGGAGATGTTGTGAATACTACAAGCAAAGATGATGATGACAAGTTGGCTACAAAACTAACATCAAACACCAAATCTGACGATTCAGGTGGGGTATTAGAGGAAATAGCTGACCTTCCATTCACACCCAGTCCATATGTAACTGGCAGGACTCGCTCAAGGTTGAGTCGTTGCTCCCTGAGAACAAGCAGAATGCCTGACAGCCTCCTTGTCATGTCTTCTCTGTTTGAGGAGACCCTACCTACACCAGTTCGAACACGCCGCCAGACACCCAGGTCTCAGAGTAGTGAAGACTATTACAGTTCACCACATGCACCTAATTATACATCATCCTATTCAAGGAGCAGCGCAGGAGGAGACTCCGTGCCTGCAGATTGCCAAGGCACACAGTCCAGCACCCTGAGAGCTGGATCAAGTGTAAGCAATAGCCAAGCAGATACCTTCATCCTCTCCAAGAGCGTAACCGGCAGTGACACTGAATCACAGACTTTATCTGATACAGTTGTATTGGAGAAAAATGAGGACTATTCAATGGATGCTTATGAAAGAAACCTTGCAGAGATTGTACTTGCTATGCAAGGCCAAGAAATGGATCTTGATGAAGGTAGGGATTTTATGACAGATGATCTGACAAGTACAGATGAGGCAACAACAAAGGGAGATGTAATTGATGCCCCTGTTGAGGACAGAGTGGACAGCTTAAAAAATGAGGAAGTCTGGATCGCTGAGGAATGTAGCTCTCAGCCAGACTCTGTGTCATCTTCATCCAGCTCCAGCTATTTTTCCCCAAGGAGGTCCAGGGAAGACTCTGACCTTCCGTGCACCCCCGGCACCGGATGCACACCCAGGTACAGCATGAGCAGGCTGTCGAGCTGCCGCCGGCCACAGCACCTGGCTAACCTGTCTTACACACCTGGAGGGCGTCCGCTCATTCAGGATCTGGACGAACCAGTGGAGTACCTCTACACTGACACAGAACAGGGCCACAAGTTGATTGAGATCCATGTCCCGCCTACAGTTAACACCTCACTCAGCTCCAGCATGAGCACCGCCAGCAGCGAGGAGACCATCCTTTATGACTGGCACTCCATGCAGACTGACATGATGAGCAACAGAGGCAAGGAGAACCAGAAGCCCCAGATGTTACTACCGAAAGAGAAACATGATGAGGGTGAGGGCGGTTTGTTGCCAGAGACAAAAGGGATAACTGACAAGGAGCTGAGATTGAGGTTAGTGGAGCTGGGGGAGAGTCCAGGTCCTATCAGCAGCCGCACCAGGCCCACCTACATGCGAAGGCTGTGGCGTCTGTTGCAGGAGTCAAACTCACAATCACCGCATCACCAGAAGCAAATAGACCAGCCGCAATCAGGTGACGCTCATACTCTTTATTTAAAGTTCTTAATTACTGTTTACCAACCATTACTTGATTACCATATACCAACTTTGGCTGTATTATTCCTGAACTCGTGGTTTGGGTTGTGAGCAGTTTTTTGGTGAGATGAGGAGTGTGTGAGATGATAAACATAATATGTTTCTATTTAACTAAATGTTAGTCCCGAAGTAGTGAAATATGTACCATAAAAAATACTTTTAGAAAGAAGTAAATCAAAATGGAAAATTAAACACATTATGTGTATTAAAACTGTTTGGGGGATTCAGTCGCTTTGTGGGTAGATTAGATTAGAGCCACTGAATGAATGAGGCATATTTATACACTTCATATCATTTAGCTTATCATCACTGTCACTTAAACAGCCGTTTTCATTTGTTCTTTTTTTTTTTTTTTTTTTTAATTCCTGCAGATTTAGGTTACAGTCCAGAATTGCGTCAGGCCCTGCAGACCTTCAAGCTGCCTGATTGTCAGGCAGACGAGCAGGCCTTGTGCCAGCAGTTTGACCAACCAGATCAAAACAGGAAGTGGAGGGAGGGCATCATCAAGTCCAGCTTCAACTACCTGCTGCTCGACCCCAGGTCTGCTGTTTCACATCTTGCTTTGGTGTTGTCCTTTGCTTTCTTCTGCGCAATGTTGCCAGCCCTATTTTGCATGAAAATGATTTCTACAATCCACTGTTTGTATCTAGAAGGGGACGCTATGAATATTGGAGTGAGTGAGAAGCAATCATCAGACCTATTTCATTTAGACAATGAAGTACCAGTCATGTTGATTTGTCATTGAATTCCTTGGGAGTTCACCACAAGGATCAAAACACTGAAACAAACAAGCAAAATACGTGTTTTAACACACTTCTACAGATTAGGCTACAACCAAACTAAAACTGATCTAGCAAAACTGGTTAATTGTCTGATTTTATTGACTTTTGAGCATGTAGAAATAAAACAATCTATCAAATCAAATCAGCAATAGTACAGAAATCACTGTTCAGTTTCCACATCAGTACGACTGATGTCTTATTGAGTTTTAACTACCCATAGCCCTGTAATATTGAACTATAATTGAAGACATAATTAAACGGCTCTTTGTCTTTCTTCTCTGTCAGAGTGACGAAAAACCTCCCGTTCCGCAGTCACTCCATGACTCCACAGGAGTGTTTCCAGACATTTATCCACTCCGTATTTTATGTGGGCAAAGGAAAACGCTCCCGTCCCTACAGTCACCTGTATGAAGCTTTAGAGTACTACAGAGGCGACAAAACCTCCAAGGTAGGGCAGTATACACTGATCAGTCTTAGTTAATTAAAATGAATTTAAAATTAATGAGATATAAAGTATTTAGATAAAACATTGACCTTTTCTTCTGTGTGACAGAAATTGTGCCCCAAAGTGCAGCACATCCTTAATGTGTGGAACGCCGGGCAGGGCGTCATCTCTCTGCACTGCTTCCAGAACGTCATTCCAGTGGAGGCTTACACAAGAGAGGCCTGCATGGTGGAGGCCATGGGTGAGTACAAGCAGGGTGAAACTCATCACCAGTTATCTCTATGAAGTGGCAAACATTGATATAATCCACTGGGGAACGTCTCAGCTGCTGTTTGTCAGGCTCTTAAATCACCCTGTCAAAGCTTATTTTATTATAATTTTCAGATAATTATTGCTCACATATTAAATATATAATATGACATAAGTAGAGGGACTTAATGACTGGCTGGCAAAAGATGCTGTATCTCTAAACTTAATTCTACCTTAATCTATCTCAGTTGAAAAATTATTGGAGCAATTAAATAAAGATGCAGGAGACCGATGTGGTTGTTAGGAGCAACATAAGGGACGTCTAGAGGAGACAAAGTGGGGTCATTACAGAATTTTTATTGGTTAAATTCATGTGACAGTCTACTCAAACAACAGGTAGCTTTTGTTATTGATACTTTGGGCCATAGTCAGGAAAGGATGCTTGGTTTGTTGCTTGTCTATTGTCATAAATGCAGTCATTGAGTTAGTGCAGTCAAAAGTTGACATATGCAACACATTATCTTATATCTGATTGACAGTCTGTGTTAAGCATGTTCTTGAAATGTGATTTTACATATCACGTGACATATATAGCTCTATTTGTCTTGTTTTCTTTTTGAAATGTGCAAGTTTTGACTATTGCTAAACTCACAATTTCAGTGTCCCTTTTCACTGTTTTTAGGACACATAAGCACATGCAATCTGATTAATACACTAGGCAGCTTATTTTATTAAGCTTATAAGATGTTAATTTTGATAACCTACAGTTTCAGTCTACCAGCATTTTGATAATGTACCATGTTAGGCATTGCTGTTATCTTTTCCAGAGAAGTTTCATGATGACTATACTTATTGTACGAGTGTTTTTTCATGTTTGTGATGAGATGAGCCACAAATAAACACAAATGAAAAAACAAACACAGACAACGTTGTTCTTGTGCTGCTCCAGCCTTTCATTAACCAACTTACTTCTCCAATCACTTTCCAGGTTTGAAGATGCTCACTAATCAGAAGCGAGGGGATTTCTATGGTGTGGTGTCCAATTGGCAGGTGAGGCAAAAACGGGAGCTGGGCGTCCATCTGCTCTACCGGGCCATGCAGATCTTCATGGCTGAGGGTGAGAGACAGCTCAGACCAGCAGATATCAGACAGTAGCGACCCCCACTGGAGAGAGGTTTGAATAGCAGCAAACGACCAACGCACAGAAGGGGAAATATCACTAGTTCAAATTATAAAGCAGCTCTTGGTTGAACAATGTTGCACTCAAAGGTGGGATGAGGTAATTGTCCTTCTGCTACAAATGAACTCTGATCACGCCCATCCTCAGCAAAGTACACTTTGTCACACATGTGACATCCTTTGTAATATTTACATCTTTTGAACTCGGTAGTGAAGATCATCTTGCTTGTTTGGGTCCTTTTAAAATCTGTGCTTTTAGTAAATGTGTCAGTTGGTCATTAAAAGTGCTGAAAATGTCGAAAATGTCTAAGCATTAAATTGAACTTGTTCATATCTGTAGACATCCTGTAAATGTCAAAGCTGCCTGATTTCTGTTCTGCACTAATTTCATTTTGTATGTATATGTGGATTGGAGATGCATTTTCTCAATACACTGCTCAGATGAGACAACAAGTAATGTTTCCACAAAAAACTTAGGATGGAGCATTATAATTGCGCATAAAGCAGGTCTTTATGAGTCATGACTAACAAGGACAACAAAGTTGTTTTCCAAAAACATTTTTCTCAGTGGGACACTTTCATTCTCAACTGCTGTAGTAATAATTACTTTTTCAGATTGATCCACAACCAAATTCAAATATCTTATGCAGTATAATCAAAGTAACTGGTGCTATGTTACACATAAAAAAGTCAAAACATAATGTCTGAAAATATTTTCCAAAGAGGATGGGCGAGAGGAATTTACAAAGGAGGCCTGGTAGCTAATCACATTACTTTTGTAGTGTTATAAAGGCCAGTTATTGGTCCTTAGTATGATAGGTTTCATGAATGAAACAACAATGAAGTGTAGAGTTTTAGAAACTTAATGTTTGTTAAAAAGAAATATAATTTGTTTACATGCCTCGATTTCCATTTCATTTACTGTGCCATTTTGTTATTGTTAAAAAATGTATAGGAGGGAAGTCGATGATGTGATAATGTCCAACAGTAATTAGTGTTTGCATGTGTACAGTTTTTAGACATGTTTTGTAGAAACAGGGCAGTAGAGTTTGTCAGTAGTACATAAGTGCTTAAAATGTTAATATGTTCAAGTTAGTGGCAGTACTAGTTTGTGATATTTCACATGCTGTGACCAGTGTAGGATATTCACACTGGGGTTGCAGATCTTTTTTGTTGACCAACAAAATCAAATCAAATCAGATTTGTCTATGAAAGTTACATCCAATTTTAACCAATTCATTCAAAACCATTCATTGTATCCTCAGGGTAAAACACATGGCCACTTAAATGGAAGCTGCACTTAGTCTTTATTTGACACAAAAGGCTTTAAGACTAGCCATTACAAGCAGAAATTTGTATTTATAAATATATATTTTTTTACATTCTCACCTCCCAGGTTGGCGTGAGACCATCATAGAGAGGAGTAAAACCTGATCTATTGAATTAACTAATGAAATTAATTGCATGGAGATAATTATCTCTATTAATTCAACTTCAAAGCCATTTTTATAGTACACTTATTAAGTGCGTAGACAACTTTTTCAGATTTTCATAGTTATAAAGCCTCTTCATTGTGATATGTGTGTGATAAGTTTTCTTGATTGGCAAAATGCATCTATCACTTGTGTAAACCATACATGTAATTTCTGGATTAATTAAATGTAATGCTCTTTTTTCATTATGATCATTTACTTTTGCTGTTGCTATGTTTTCCCCCCTTACTTGCAATCGTGAAAAAAAATACAGAGGACATAAACCTGAACTGGATGTCTCTTTGGCCTTTTAACGTTCTGTTCCTTGGTGTCCCTCTAGTGGACAAAGGAAGTCATTAACTTTGCTCCCAAGTCTAGAAGTAGTAATCAGTATAAAGCTTGTAATCACTATAATCAATTAAAATGAGTGTTTGGTGTCAGTGTTGGGAGCAGTTATTTCATGGAAACCTATAGATTCTTTGTATGTTTAACACCCCTATTTAACAGGAATGTTGATGTAATTTATTTTCACAAGTTTAGGTTTATTTTGATGTTTACCATTTTGCCAACAAGGGCTTCAGTTGCCTCAATCCTACAAAAAAAAAAATGCAGTTTAGGTGTTAATGCTGTGCTTGTAATTGCTTTGCAAGAACAAGTTTCTCTTCTTGTTCAAAGATGCACACCGAATTTAGGCATGATGGTATCCAGTTACTGTTATCATGACTCATTCAGTTTCATAGAGCTTTAGCTTCTTGGTAATGGTTAGCCGATATTTTTTTACAAACATAATTGTGGTTTATACCGTAAACAACATGAATGTCCTTGTGCGTGTCTTACGTCAGCACTGAGCCTCTTTGACTTAACTGACATAAAATTACCTCACTGAGCAAAGCTAGATATCTCATCTGTATAATTGATTTTTCATGCACAAATGTCACAATATGTATTCTTTTAAGATAATTGTTCTGAAAATGTACAGAATAAATATTGGTGATACTGTACATTTAATGTAATGCAGGGCTGTTTTGAAAGCATAAAAATCACAGTTATGACCGTTATGTGGCTGAAACTAAAAGACCATGTGAAAAAAAGGGGGTTTTCCAGTTTCACCAGCAATGTTCTTCTTTTTTGCTGGTCAAGCAGTGGCAGCACTCTTCACTTCACAATACTGTTCGGGTACTTTCCTGCAGACTTTTTCCAAGGTAGAACAGCATATCTCACAAACAAGCTTCATACTCACACAGCAGTCAGTTATCTATTGGTGTTTTAGCAGCACACTTTTAGCATTTACTGTCTTGTTTTAATTACTTGCAATTGTCTCATTCAGTGGAAAAAAACAAAACAATGAGCTTAGCAGAAACACACACACACAAAAGGGGACAAAGTGCAGACATTGCAAAATATATTCTGCTCATTAAAAATACAAAGAATTAAAACCTAATTTAGTGAAATTACAAGATGTCTAAAATTGTATTTTACCAAATGTGTTCTGAATTAAGCATGCTGGATAAGCAGCTGGTTTTAACTTGTTTTGGAGTAAAACAATTTTATATTAATTTTACACTAACATTACATCCCTCCTCTTACATTTGAATTGAAATAAAAATTTTATGCAAAATAAAATGATAGAGAATTGGAATATTGTCCTTACATAGTAGGCCTGGTTAAACTGAGCTCTGTGTGAATTCAGACAGTGTGAACAGGCAAGATTAAGAGTGAGAAAGTCAGCTTCTTGTAAAGGTTGTTATCATCATGTGCTGCAAGTTGTTTTGATTTGAACTGTGCTGACTGTTCAAACGGCTTGTTGGGGCTGTGCGCGTGCATTTATGTTATAACTGTACTGTTGTTGTTTTCATGTTGTGTGTGAGAATTGGTGACTAATCTGTTGAATCAAAAACACATTTCTATAAAGAGTGTACATATTTCCTGCAGAAAAAAATATCTAAGACAACTTTCACTAATTATTTTAGTAATTTACAGTATATTTATATAGGCCTATTACTTTATCCCCCAGTTATGTTTAAACATTGTGAGTGTAAAGAATATTTGTAAATAGCATACAAGACAACAAATACTGCAGTAAAATTTGAATGGTTGTAATATTATTGAAATCTTGTATGATTCAAAAGCACAAACCAAGGATGAGAGATGTTTAAAAAAAGTAGCTAATAATTAGTGGTAATACTAAATGTTTGCTGTATTTAAATATGCATCACATCAGTGGTGTGATGCTTTTAATCAATAGGAAAAATCTAATGCAGATAGGTTTACTCTTCTGAATGTGTAAAGGAAAGGGCCATGACTGTAATCACTTTCACATCTCCTTTAACCAAAGAAGAACGATCAAATGAAAAAATACCTACCATATCACTGAGGGCAGAACTTGTGACAATTTATTCGATAAACTACACCAAATCAAATGGCATACGGTATTATAACAATCAGGAATACACAGTAAAGTTGTAGAGTTTCATGGTTCTTTAATGTTTTGTCCTACAGAAAAACATATAAAACATGAATGAAAAGCAGGTACATATTTTAACACATAATATAAACCGCTGTGTTCAACACCACATTCAAGATATTCAAGTTCTTGTTCCACCAAACTGAATTCAACAGTAATTAAACCATTTTAATATATTTACATCTACATCTTTTGGTGGTCTACCTGGTGGTGAAAAAAATACAGAATTTTAATGACTAAATCCTTTTTATTCCAAAAAGGTCAATCATTTTAGCATGCATCTGTTCATAATTCAACACATTCTCACTTTTTTTTTTTTCATGTATTATTTACAACTAAATCATTTATCAAACCTTAGATGCAAGGCGAGCCATACATTCTTGGTATATTTTTCTTTAAAGGTCATTTTTTTCCCCAACTATCTCTTGCATCTTTATTCTTCTTCCTCCTGCTGCTGTAGCCAGACTCAGACCCCTCCGCCCCAGCCGGCGTGATCGAGATGCAATCTGAACTGCCTGTCAATTCACACCGCCCGTGTGCGCCTGTTGTTGGTGGGAGGCGAAGGGGTTGGGGTTGGGGGTGGGTGTGTGCTGGCGGAGAAATAAATAATGCCATCATCAGCATATCGTGATGCTATTCCTTGTGACGGTTGGATGAAATCTGGGACACAGTTGCATTCATCGTTCAGTGAGCTCTTCCACACAGTTAAACCCACCGACAGCAATGAATGTTGATTGTGACCTTTGCTGTGGTTTGGAAGCTGGAAGTAGTTTTTTGCTTGTTTGTTTTGTGGAGGAGGGACGCAGCGCTCTTCATGTGATTGGTCAAGGAGTCATTTGCCATGCCTGTGTGCAGGTTTCTGCACGTGTCTGACTTCTTTTCCCTTCTTTTTGGAGACACCGAGTGACAAAGCCTGGCCACAGGGTACAATCAACGGTCGATGGTTTTTTCAATTTAGCTCAAACTCACCGACAGCGTTGAATGTTCACTGGGGCGAGCACAGACCTGATGGTGACCAGAGATGACAGTCTGCTTAGAGATGCAGAGGCAGTGAGTCTTAAGTGTGGGCGGAGAGGCTTCTAACTCTCTCCCTTCATGCTAAATCCCCCTTTTTTCATTCTCTGAGCACAGAGCACACTAAAAGAATCATGAGTGTTTTACCATGCTCTCCATTTTGGCACATCTACATCTACGTCTATAGACTTAAAGAAGGGAACAATAATACCATATCTATTTGTACTGGAGGTCTTCCATTCAACTTTTAACATGAACAAAACCTGCTGCTACATATACATGCATACATCACACTGCTTTTTCCCCACATTCTTTGCCATTTACATACTGTACCTGAGGATAAGAGACAGAAAAGCATTAATATCAAGGAACAAACATGATAAGATATAAATCAAATGCAATTAATTATTAAAACAACTGCCTCCTGTGCTCTCCACTACCGCAGCTAAAAAGTAGCAGAGCTGGCTGTGCCCTACTTCTTCTTAAATCCTGGCAAAGGCGACATTTGATTGTCGCCAAATGACACATGGTCATTATGACACTAAAGACATTCTTAATGTATGGGAACAAATTTTATTTCACTACAAGTAACAGTTAGAAGAGGGAAGTCATCTTGAAACTCATGACTCATAGTGGGTTTTAGTAAACACAAGCACCTGGGCGGAGGCTGCAGCCAGTCATCATAGGCTGTATTGAAGCACCGTGGTGCAGCCTCTAGAGAGACACTAGCATGCCTTGAGGGCTTCATGCAAGGTGGAGGTTGAGGAAGACACTGGGTATGAAACCGTCGACTCACCCAGATCAATAGCATCTGTTGTTTTCACTATGATGTGTCACTGTGGCTGAAGACTGGGTGTTTTTCTTTGGTTTTCTTCTCGCGCTAATACCAGTAAAGAAACTGTCCAGCAGCTTGCATGAAAGATTTTATTACGCAGTGTTTAATCAGAGCTGCTCTTCATGGAAAAAAAAAAAAAAACGCAGAGTTTGTGAGAAGCACAAAAATAAAATGCCACAGAGCTGCTGTAGCATTAGATACGATGTGACAAAGCTGTGGCAGTGAGTCAAGATGTGGTCAGATGATAAATATGGTGTTGGGACACTTTTACTG